AGGCGGGTGCCGTGCTCCGGCTTGGTGCAGTATGCAACAGCCTCTCCTTCAGTGTCGCCGACGACAGAATTGGGTTCGGGCGGACCCCAGAGGCAGAAGTCTGTGAAGTATGTGTTTAGTGGTCATCGAGGTCCGGAATGCGTACACACGCACCATCTATAGAGTCGATGATAGCAGTCTGGCACCTCGATTCTTGGCCGGCGGTCGTGGAGTTACATATGTTGTAGCCATACTGGACTCCTCTTTCGAGCCCGACGTCGGTGTCGACTTTATAGGGCTGTTAAGGTACGGGCAGGATATGTGGAGCAGAGAGTCGGCGATGAGGATAAAAACGCGTACAATCTGGTCGTACTCGAATCGTTTATCATTGAGAGGAACTTCAGGGAACTTGTTATCTTGGGCGAATGCACCGGAGAAAGAAACGGCAGCAATGGCAGCAAGGATTGAACGAGCGACTGGAGACATGGTCAAGAGGCAAGGCCCGCGAGGTGAAGAGAATCGTGCTGTGGGCTGGGAGGGGAGAGGCGGATGCAACGAAACGATGACACCCACAAAACTTAAGTAGTCATCCTGGCCTTGGCTCGAGGAATGCCTAGTTTTCCTTGTCATTTTTTCCGTCCCCCCAAGCCCATCTCCGAAGGTCTCTGATCACATTCCGCACTTGGCATTTTATGCACCGTGCCCGATCGACATGTCCTTGAATATCAAAAGCTGTAGAAAACGGAAGGGCCGGGAATCCAAGTAAACGAAACGGTCACTATTGATGTAATGCCCAGATTCGAGCCCAAATTTTCTTGTTTCCTCGGCCAAACGATTGAGGCGAGCGGCCCTGTGCCGTGAAGCTTTTCACGCACGAATGGGAGCCTCATCTATCTTGATTTGAATAGCTTTCCAGTGCGAGTTTGAATAAGAGAAATCCAAGCTGAAAGACCGTCGAAGTCGCAGGAAGCTGGGGTTGGAATAGTGCTCAATTGTAGAGAGCTCGTAGAAGTTACAACGCTTTTAGGACGTTATAAACAGCCAGCGCGAGGACAAAAACTATGAAGGGTGGTGAAATTCAATTGGGTGATGGCATCGAAACAGGAGCTCACCAGCGTCCAACCAGCGTCCACGCTCACTATCTTTTTCTCCGCCTTCCGAGATTATGTAGCATCCGAATAGCATGAGGATCGTGACGACGTGAACTTTTTTTAGCAATCAATGCATGAAGATTCGTGGCAAGACTGGTCTGGAGGGTATTGCTCAGTTCCGGAACATCGACGTCGAGGTACAAGGAGGCAAGTAGATGCACAGCCACGAGTTTCCCATGCGCGTCACTCTCGTCTCCGAACCATCACCGCAATCGCGAGCTCTTCTATCATCGTCTCAAAGGAGCTGTAGTAAGTAATCTATGCTTCTTGATTGTTTATCTCTGACAACCTTTCCAGTATCTAGTTGCATATTTTGCAAGGTCTGAGGAGGCGAGAACGAGCGAAACAATGTCTCAATGTCCCTAAGAACCTCACTCTCAATCATATTGACTAGCCCAATAGACGACTTATCTTCCTTTGGCTCTGGGATCTCGCTTGGAAAAATCTTTGAACCTTGCCTCAAGTTACCCTCGGGGAGCCTTGAACCTGATGCTTCTGCTTCTCCGACCGTATCCGAGTCTCGAGCCATATGTCATTAATCCGATGGCTGACTGACTATGGCATAAACAGGCTCGAGATTGTTATTCGAAGCAAAAGATTCTTGAAGTTCTTCGCGGAGAGCAGCTACAATCCAACGTGCAGCGATGATATTGCGTCGACCCGGTCTCCTTGCACAAAAGCTGGCAGGACTCGTTGTGATTGACTGTCTCAACTGAGAACGTGCTCTGAGCCCAAGCTACGGCTGCTCAAATGCGTCCATAAAAAAATGGCACGCGCTGGTTCGAGTTATCCATTAGAAGGTTTCATTTGCACGCACCCGTGAGTTTTTCTAACTCAATGCATGGAGAAACTGACCGAGCACGCAGTGGCACCCACTTCTCCGAAAGGAACGTTTGAATAGACTTCTGAATGAGCACCGCGTAGAAGCTCTCTCAAATGACACTTAGCGATGTGTCTGTCGGCCCCACATATCAGCATCGATGACATTCATCATCGTGGGTATATAAACCAAGTCTGCTGCGTCCAATTCTTTGTCTCTCTCTAATCAATCTCATCATGGCCTCCGAGTTCAAAATCTCCGTTCCAGATTCACAGATATCCCTCCTCAAACAAAAACTCGAGCTGACGCGTCTTCCCGACGAAATCGACGATGCAGGATGGGATTATGGTGTCCCGCTCGCGGATATCAAACGACTAGTGGCGCGGTTACGGCTGACGAGACCAATCAGGTTAACATTTTGCTTTTACGCCTTTCCATTCACAGTTCCCACCTTCAGTCGCCTTCGTGATCTTCTCGGCACCTGTCAAATATACTTCCAATTAATTCTGTCTGCTCCCAGAGAGTCCCAGACCGTTATCCTGTAGTATCCCGAGTGTTAATTTGTGTTTTTTTGTGGTTTCTCTGTGTCTCCGTGTTTATGATATGTCGTACTACGGCTGACAAGACTAATCAGACCAGCTTTTTGCTCGCTTCACCTTGAGACCAAGAGAATCCCTCGCCTGATCCCCCCGAGCTATCATTTTAGCTTTCTGATGCCCCGGATGTTCCACACTCGTCATTCCCATAGTTCCTTCCTTGATACAGTGTTTTTGTTCGTTTACTCTTGTTTTAGTTTCCTCCCTTGAATACAGACCTGCATAAGCCCTGAGAGCAACAAAGGACGGAAACCCGGGCAGTCTCAACTTCACTTTCACACAGGAGATTACCGCCAGGTCCGCTCTGTCAACGTAAGTTTGTCTTTTTGTATTGGGGCCCTCACCGGCTTGAGGAAGCCGAAGGCTTCGAGCACTTTCCCGCAGTACCAATGATGATACCCTTCCATACTTGTATTGACACTGGAGGGCGGACACTATACTCACGCCTGGGTTCTGGCTGCCTCAGGACATATGGGAAGGCGATAGAACATGAAGAAAACTCACTAACTCATTGTCAGGTAATTTTCAGTGCCCTTCTTGACGTGCCTTGACGAAGACGCAGATCTCAGGTCACGCACGAGCGGGTGTCGTTGGAACTAGAAGCCTCGAATCGAGACGGATGTTGTGGCGCTGTCTCTTCGGCACTCTCCGGATTTGAACAATTTCGGTCGAATATTTGCCCTTTGTGAGTGTCAATCATCTCAAGCATCTCATGAACACGTAGACTCGCCAAAATCGCAGAAAAAAACATAACAGATCTATGGCCGGGACACTCCAGCACCAGTCTGAGAGTATTGAGATGAAATCAATAAGAAGTATGTTTGACAGGTGGCGAGAAGATCACGAAGGCAACGAGGGCGGGAACCGTGAATGCAAAGCTATGCGAAGGCGTAAAAGCAGAATGTTAACCTGATTGGTCTCGTCAGCCGTACGCGGTGGAAAAATGGCTACGATTGGAGGAAACACGAGAAGCAGTTGAACGACGAGATGCCGCAGTTTACGCGAGATATCGAAGTTGATGGGTATGGAACTTTGAATATCCATTACGTTTACAAGAGGAGCGAGGCAAAAGGGGCCATCCCGCTGTTGTTCGTTCATGGGTGTATGTCCGGATAAGTAACTGGAATTTCCCTTGACTGCGATCTGAATACCTTCTAGGGCCTGGCAGCTTCATCGAAGCTCGGAAGATACTACCTCTCCTCACGGCCGTCGAGGACGGTAAGCCGAGTTTTGATGTGGTTGCAATGAGCCTCCCTGGGTATGGCTTCTCGGAGGCCACAAAGAAGAAGGGCTTCGACATGCCCAAGTACGCTCAAGTGGGACACAAACTCATGGGAGCTTTGGGTTACGACGAATACGGTATGAAATATATCGTATCCCATCGCCTTGGTTTTCACTCTTTCTGTAGTGGTACAAGGGGGTGATTGGGGATACATGGTGAGTCGTCTATAATTGCGCGAGGCAGAAGGGACTTCGTCACTGATCATGCACATTCTCCTTCATAGATTACCCGTACGATGTCCACAATCTACGGGGAGAACCACGTTAAAGGATGGCATACCAACATGCCATACCTGACGCCCCCCGCCGATGTCGATCCTTCTCAGTATACCGATGATGAGAAGGCTGTAATCGAGCACAACAAATGGTACCACACGAAAGGACACGGATACGGCGTCGAACAATCTACTCAACCTCAAACTCTTGGATACAACTTGAGTGATTCGCCGGTGGGACTCCTGGCATGGATCTACGAGAAGCTCGTGACCTGGACCGATGATTACGCCTGGGAGGATGACGAGGGTCAGTTAAAGAACCCAATCAACCTCACTTGACCGCTTACAACGTCTTCCCCTAGTATTGACTTGGATCTCGATCTACTGGTTCTCCCGCTCAGGTCCTACAGCAACCCTTCGGATCTACTATGAGGTCACACAAACGCTAGCAGCCATGAAAAAGGCCCAAGTACAGCCGCCTAAGGTCACAGTCCCCACTGGGGCTTCCTTCTTCCCTAAGGAGATTATACAGGCACCGCTCTCGTGAGTATCCTCCTACTTATTTCCTCAGAAGGCGACTAATGTGGTACTGTACACATAGTTGGGCCGCCCAAGAACTCAACCTTGTATTCCATGCGAAACACGAAAAAGGTGGACATTTTGCTGCGCATGAGGTTCCAGATTTGTTAGTTGGCGATCTGAGGAAGATGTTTGGAAAAGGCGGTCCCGCTTATGGAGTTGTCAGTGGCAAGGATGGATCCTGAGAGCGACCTGAACGGTGTTGGCACGGACGTTTAACGCTGTACGTCGACTGAGGGAACTTCTCTGTACGGTCGGGATGCGGAAAGTGTGGTTCCGTTGAGTGGTCGCATGAGTATATTGACTTGGCTTCGCCGTCACTTCACAATGTTCGCGCAACATACCAGTTTCAAAAAGACGAGGAAAAGTTGTAAATTATTGACCCCTACCCGGATTGAACGGATGACCTTCTGGAAGCCTATGCTGGAATCCTGTACTGGAATCAGACGCTCTACCGCTGAGCTAAGGGATCCTTGAACAGCCTTCCTTGGTAGCACCCATTCCTCGAGAGTCGGAATAAACTGCCAGGCAGCTCCCGGCACACATAATTCTTGACGTTTCCAATTCGATACTCATTCCTCCGCGTGGGCGTTGACAAACAACACCTCTGTCCTCGTTCTACCAATACCTGACTGGCCGCCTCGTATCATATCCGCTGCGGCGCTGATGATCAGTGATTGGTCGCCTTTCCACATAACCCATGCCAACAGAATACTCCAGGTTTCTCCGGCGCTAAGTACCTTCCTTTTCCATCTTTGTAGAAGTTCTCACCCGAGACCTCGCGAGCTGTTCTCCTGTTCTAAAAGTAGGACGAGGTACAATTGAACCTCAGGCCAAACTTGGGTAGCATAATTGAAAACAATTGGACATACTCAATTATAGAGTGTTTAACATAGCACTTATCGTCAGCACTTCCGCGCCGGCTAGATCTAGTTCATCGTTGTCCAACTGTTCTCTCTATCATTTTCCAAGAATATTGTGGACTGCATGAAACTCTCACCGTCGTTTGACTCGTTTCCCCATCTCTATAAGTCTTGAGGGGTGGGAAAATTTTATCCGGCAGGAACTTCGCCCCATTTTTGGGGTTAAACTGGTTCAACAATCACAAGCTAAATGTGGCAAGACTAAGCTCACGGTTCGTTCGTTCTAACCTTGGTCAACCCCAAGTTTGACTCTGTGCGTGCAAGATAATTGCTCTTTTGTCGACCTCTGAATATTCAATACTTACCACCACATGCCAACGATGATCAGTGCCAACGCCAAGTACATCATCTAACTCTGCTTCATGCCCGTTTAACCTGGCGCAACGTCCCTCGCCGGGGAAGAGTAATCGCCTTCATAAAGTTTCTTAGAGGGGCCCGTTGATCCTGAGATTGCAATATCTTCAAATTGAAGACCCTCGAGACCAGCGTAAATCGACACTTGCAAGGACGTTCCTGCCGCGATTTACGCTTGACTCGGATGATGGTTCGCAATTGTTCACGGTCGAATCGGGGGTACCATTCTCCTCAAATCATCGTTTCGCAGAGGACGAAGGATACATTGATGGGTGAGATGCGAGTACAATACAAATACTTCGGGATGGATACAGGGAACATGGTCATTGTGTCATTATGAGTGCTACGCCGCTAGTAATACTGAGATGTAAGCTTTTAGAGAAGGGAAGACAATAAAAGTAGATAATTTTCTGAAAGTAACGAACGACAAGGCAGTGTTGTTGAGTTTTTTGTGTACGGATATAGTCTAGGGAGGGGGGGCATGGATCAATGTCGGTCGATGGCGAGTAGTTCAGAGAGAATGATCTCACCCTCGATCAAGCTCCATTCCGACGATCTTCGCATTCCTTACATATTGCTGCTCCCACTCTTAATCCCAGCTCACCAGATGGCAACGGGCACAATTGACACAACTCCGCATCACAGCCTTCGACCGAGCACTTCAGAAAGCTCCTACAGCTGGTGCATAGCTCAGAATGGCAGTTGGGACACGAGCTGGAGGTTGTGCAACAATCCGAAGTGTAAGTGGACTCGGCCTCCGGGAGCGAAGAAAAGGGATCGCTCGGGAGAGAGAGACAAATAGGTAGATGATCATTGCATAACACACAAGAGGCCGGTGGCATGCAGTCGATGCAGTAAGGGTTGGATTGTGAGGAGCAAGGACACGAAGGCGATACGTTGGGGCACTTCGAACATAGAGAAGTGGAGCAACCGGGACACTCCCACACCAGTGAAGTGGAGGAAAGATCAGAAAACGCGCACAGGTCACATATCCAGGCGTGCTCGCATCCAAGCCCACCCTCAGGCGAGCAATCAGGACAGATCAAGGCGAGGCTCCGTTGCGACTCGCGACGCTTGCCTTTTCCCTTGGATCGAGCTGAGTGCTCTGACCCGTCTCGACGCGACCAACAGCTGGGGTTATCACAGCTTCCCCACAGGAGGGATTCGTCGTCATCTAGACATTCATTGCAAGGGGCCGTTCGGGGTGAATGTGCGCGAATGGGTTGGAGACTGTCCGTAGCTGATGCGTCTGCGGGGCCGTGATACCGTCCTTCCCGTTTCCTCTTCCTACTAGCTGAGGTTGCCAACAAATCCTCCTGAACAATCACTGGTGCGCCAATGCACCGCCCAGATGACTTGGTCCGACAACCAAGAATTGGGCAAACGGAAGTGGGTAGATGTTCCGGCTGGCTGGGTGGCGTGAGCGGGGGTGAAATCGGTGTGTGGACCTCCTCTGGCGTTACTTCTGGTGCGCGCTTGGCTCTCTCAGAACGGCTGCTGTACGCGCTTGCAATCGTTGGCGTGCTGGGTGAGCGCAGGATTGAACGAGACGACAGCTCTGCTGTCGGAGTAGGTGACGAGGGTGTTAATGGAGGGGTGGTGGGAGGAGTCAGCGGTGCCTTGAACGGTGTATCAGAGAGTGAGGGAATGATGATTGTGGGCCTGGCTCTGGGAGTTTCGTTGAAAAGCTCATGTGGGAGGCGGCCATACAATGGGCTAACTGGTGTCGTTATAATGATTGGGGGAGGCAGCATCGTCGGTAACGGGATATTGAGGGAGGCGGAGCAGCGCAAAGAGAGAATACGTGAGGCTCAAAGGATGCATTTAAGTATATGGTGCCGGTCAAACCTAGAAGCCCGGTGAGTGACGGATAAACTAACCAGCTTGTTATGAAGGGATCTGCAAATCGAGAGGTGATCTGATGGGGCGCCTGTCAGTTTGATCGATTCAGCCCTTCGTCGGATGTCGAGTTAACTAGTTGCAAGGAAGCTACAAATGTGTGAGACAGGGTCCCCACCGCCACCGAGAGAGCACTGACGAGCCGCGACACTCATAAGCCTAGATAGCTCACCTCCTTGTCATTCCGGAATCTGCGACAATCAATCTCTCCCGAAAATCGTGACTCGCTATCTACTCCGTAGCCCCGACCATGATCATCTTGAAACACATTCACGCTGATCACTGTAGAGTGAGACTTGAATCAAAACACTACTTAGGCTTGAGTGGGTGAAACCCGTGAGAACGTAAAGGGACGCTGTACTTGTTGATGATCAAGTTGTGATAAATACAATGTCTCGAGAGTTGAGCTCTGGAAACCACACGAGGAAAACATGGGGTGATGCATTGGGGGTGGCGCTTGCTTTGACCATTTGTTAAGGGTCGTGGTGGTCGGACATGGGTCAGGACCGATCAAACTGTATAGCTGGAGCCTGTCATCGTTCTTGTCCTCTTCCCACTCCTATATAGCATCAATCTCAGCATACCCTTCCATCCTCGAAGTTTGGAAAGCGGCATGATGTGAGTCTTTGAGAGCTCGTCGAGTCACCCCGGTCAGCGACAAACTTAGCCTAGCGCTAGGAGCTCAATGGACAATGAATCAGTGTCGGGTCAGGGTAACCGAATCGGGAGCTGAAGATGGTTCAGCTGGGGCACCTTCCTATTCACTGATCCTCAGGTATCATAGAAGGAAGAACAGACCCTAGCCTCACACCTGCCGAGAACCGAAAGGGGCCTTAACGACCACATTGAATTACACTCCAATCATGCGACGTTGATGAACAGCGGGCAAAACGTCAGTGGAAGGATCATACTTGCCCCGGCTCTAAACAAGTCAGAAAACTTCCTACAAAGCGTTATAGGAGCAAGAAGTACGCTTTGTATATCTAAGACCTCTTGGGGGCCTTTGCAAGTGTCGTGTCGCGTCCACAATATTAAAAATCGTCCCCTAGATGCGTTTGGTTATTGAACCAAACAGAACCCGTGGTTTCAATTGGTGGACGAAAATGTGGTTGGGGCTCCCACGAGTTACGACAAATTTTGGGTAGTTATTCCCACCAGACCGCTCCCATTCAAGAGATGCAGATCGATTGATGGATGTAAATGATCGCGTCGAGTTGGTTTGGTTCTTCTCTCGTACCTTGAAGCGTGAGGTTCAAAATTCGAAGCTTGAAGTTTGGACGAATCGAGGAGGCGAGGACTCTTCGTGTCCATTTATCACCCAAAACTACGACAAGATCCTTCCAGGCGAAGTCAGATTTCCAGTGTAGCAGCGCAGGCGGCTTGGTATTGTTCAGTTACTGATCCCATTCTTGGAGCGGAGCGGGATCCACATTGAAACGGGGGAGAGATCGGCGAATGAGCCCAGGCATCTACTTTGGACGTCCAGCCTTCAGCTGACTGAGCGCTCGTAGCCGTGTCATTCCCGTTGTACCGTACAGACCTTCCTTGTACAATCAGAAGCACCGTCAAGTACAGAGAAGCGGAACGGTTCACAAGACTAGCTCTGCCCTATCAAAAGGTGCCACAAAAAATGTGCGCTCTCCCACCGCGGGATGAGTGTCTTCCACGACTGTGGCGTACTCAGGGACCGTGATTTAAACTAGAAGGGGGTCAACTGTGTGCTGGCCCTAAGGATGAAAGAGTTTATCGGCATCAAAACACTATCGCCGTTGAATGAGTACGAAATTCCCCAGATCAGGATTATAAAAAGGAATGTCTGGCCATATAGCAGCGGCAAGTGGGACAGCCTCGGGGTAGTGGTACGCTGAGAATAACGTGGGTAGTCATGACGAGCGGAACGCCGAAACCTATCATCATGCAAGAATGGGCTAGGTGGTCAAGGCCGCCTGGCATCATGCATTGACGGGCCTTACGTTCTGATAAGGTGATGAGCGAATATTCATTGCGTACTCTTCGCATAAGAGGGCAGCAGGCTGTGCTTGAGATTTGCTAGCGTGCTCGATTGGTTTCTCACGTAGCATCCGGAAAATCGGCCCTCGTTCGGAAAATCGGTTATGGGTAAGTGTTTCAGCTTGATTCCAACCCGCCAAAAGCTTCTCCAGAGCCCATCATTTGTGGGTGAAGGATCTCTAGCAGAGACGAATGTGAAGTGGAGCCATCCCACGAGTGAGAATGAACCTCTTCGCTGTGTAATATGGTTGGAGGCTAGCAAAAGCGGACTGGCGCCACGCGTCCC